TTTCAAGTTGCTATTTCTTCCAATCTATATTATGAGAAAGGTTGTAATGTCACTAGACTTTTTAACTTCATGTATTCAAGCCAATCAATGTAAGCACTAGGGAAACAAGAGCAACTAGTTTGGTCACAATATATAATAAACTGTTATCACAGAGATATGTCTCGCCTTTTTGTAATTTTGATAATGCAAATGTTGAAATTAAAATAGCAATACTTTAACATGTAAGTTATGCAAATATTCAAATGCAATGAACCATGACAATGACTAAACAATCTCCATGTAAATGAGATGTGCCAATGGTAATTCAACTGCATACCAAATACCATTGACTTATTATAAGTCGTTCCCTTTAAACAAACCTAAACACAAACATTTAACTTGTAAACTATGTAATAGTTTCAAAGTCAATGAACCATGATGAGGGAGTAGGGCTATATAATCTCCATGGAAACAATACTTGCAAATGCCAATAAATTTGCATACCAAATATCATTGACCTAACATAAGCAGTTCATCTTAAACTGATCTAATCACAAACTAATACATGTAAACTAAGCAAAAGTTTCAAAGTCAATAGACCATGACTGAGGAGGCAGGGCCAAATATTCTTCATGGAAATGAGATGTGCTAATGCTTACACAACTGAATACCAATTAACATTGGCCTACCACTAATGTTTCCCCTTGAACTGACCTAATCACAAACTAATACATGTAAACTAAGCAAACTTTTCAAAGTCAATAGACCATGACTAAGGGGGAGGAGCCAAATAAACTCCACGGAAATGAGATATGCTAATGCTTATACAACTGCATACCAAATATCATTGACCTACCACTAGTGGTTCCCTATAAACTGACCTAATCACAAACTAATACATGTAAACTAAGCAAAAGTATCAAAGTCAATAGACCATAACTGAGGGGGCAGGGCCAAATAGTATCTATGGAAATGAGATGTGCCAATGCTAATACAACTGCATACCAAATATCATTGACCTACCACTTGTGGTTCACCATAAACTAGACCTAATCACAAACTAATACATTGTTGCCACTGCAAAATCAATGATAAGAGTACAACCAAGCTTATCTCCCTTTAATATCATGCATTCAACAATTTTTGTCTCGCATAGAGGCATAGGGACGACTGCAGCGGTGGCGTCAATTAGTTTTCTGCTTAAGTTAGTTTGATAGGAACTACTTGTGATAGATCATTGATATTTAATACAAAGTTGTACATATCAGTTTGGTAACTATTTCGAGTCCCTGCCCCCTAGGTCATGGTCCAGCAACTTTGAATTTACTAGCAATTTTCAATGTTAAGTTTTCTGCTTACCAGTAAGTTAGTTTGATAGGAACTACTTGTGATAGATCATTGATATTTAATATGAAGTTGCATTGCTATCAGTACATATCAGTTTGATGACTATTTTGAGGCCCTGCCCCCTAAGTCATGGTCCAGTGACTTTGAATTAATAAGCAATTTTCAATGTTAAGTTTTCTGCTTGAGTTAGTTTGATTAGATCAATGATATTTTGTATAAAGTTGCATTACTATCAGTACATCTCAGTTTGTTGACCATTTCTAGGCCCTGCCCACAAGATCATGGTCCAGCGACTTTGAATTAACAAGCATTCTGAGAGTATTGCATGGCAATAGAAAGTCCCCTAACGGCTAAAAATTCGTCGTACTGGAACAAAATGCTAACTTGATCTATAACTTGTCTCGGAGTAAACTATATAACAAATATCAAGTCAATATCTTCAAGTATGACGAAAAAAAGTGTGGAAATGATTATTTAAGTGAATTTTCTAAGTCCAAGGACCATAACTCTGCACAAAGTCATCAGACCGGAACAAAATTCAAACTTGATCTGTAACTTGTCATGATGAAACTACATAAATTTGCATACCAAATATCATTGACTTAACATAAGCAGTTCATCTTAAACTGATCTAATCACAAACTAATACATGTAAACTAAGCAAAAGTTTCAAAGTCAATAGACCATGACTGAGGAGGCAGGGCCAAATATTCTTCATGGAAATGAGATGTGCTAATGCTTACACAACTGAATACCAATTAACATTGGCCTACCACTAATGTTTCCCCTTGAACTGACCTAATCACAAACTAATACATGTAAACTAAGCAAACTTTTCAAAGTCAATAGACCATGACTAAGGGGGAGGAGCCAAATAAACTCCATGGAAATGAGATATGCCAATGCTTATACAACTGCATACCAAATATCATTGACCTACCACTAGTGGTTCCCTATAAACTGACCTAATCACAAACTAATACATGTAAACTAAGCAAAAGTTTCAAAGTCAATAGACCATAACTGAGGGGGCAGGGTTAAATAGTATCTATGGAAATGAGATGTGCCAATGCTAATACAACTGCATACCAAATATCATTGACCTACCACTTGCGGTTCACCATAAACTAGACCTAATCACAAACTAATACATTGTTGTCGCTGCAAAATCAATGATAGAGTACAACCAAGCTTATCTCCCTTTAATATCATGCATTCAACAATTTTTGTCTTGCATAGAGGCATAGGGACGGCTGCAGCGGTGGCGTCAATTAGTTTTCTGCTTAAGTTAGTTTGATAGGAACTACTTGTGATAGATCATTGATATTTAATACAAAGTTGTACATATCAGTTTGGTAACTATTTCGAGTCCCTGCCCCCTAGGTCATGGTCCAGCAACTTTGAATTTACTAGCAATTTTCAATGTTAAGTTTTCTGCTTACCAGTAAGTTAGTTTGATAGGAACTACTTGTGATAGATCATTGATATTTAATATGAAGTTGCATTGCTATCAGTACATATCAGTTTGATGACTATTTTGAGGCCCTGCCCCCTAAGTCATGGTCCAGTGACTTTGAATTAATAAGCAATTTTCAATGTTAAGTTTTCTGCTTGAGTTAGTTTGATTAGATCAATGATATTTTGTATAAAGTTGCATTACTATCAGTACATCTCAGTTTGTTGACCATTTCTAGGCCCTGCCCACAAGATCATGGTCCAGCGACTTTGAATTAACAAGCATTCTGAGAGTATTGCATGGCAATAGAAAGTCCCCTAACGGCTAAAAATTCGTCGTACTGGAACAAAATGCTAACTTGATCTATAACTTGTCTCGGAGTAAACTATATAACAAATATCAAGTCAATATCTTCAAGTATGACGAAAAAAAGTGTGGAAATGATTATTTAAGTGAATTTTCTAAGTCCAAGGACCATAACTCTGCACAAAGTCATCAGACCGGAACAAAATTCAAACTTGATCTGTAACTTGTCATGATGAAACTACATAAATTTGCATACCAAATATCATTGACTTAACATAAGCAGTTCATCTTAAACTGATCTAATCACAAACTAATACATGTAAACTAAGCAAAAGTTTCAAAGTCAATAGACCATGACTGAGGAGGCAGGGCCAAATATTCTTCATGGAAATGAGATGTGCTAATGCTTACACAACTGAATACCAATTAACATTGGCCTACCACTAATGTTTCCCCTTGAACTGACCTAATCACAAACTAATACATGTAAACTAAGCAAACTTTTCAAAGTCAATAGACCATGACTAAGGGGGAGGAGCCAAATAAACTCCATGGAAATGAGATATGCCAATGCTTATACAACTGCATACCAAATATCATTGACCTACCACTAGTGGTTCCCTATAAACTGACCTAATCACAAACTAATACATGTAAACTAAGCAAAAGTTTCAAAGTCAATAGACCATAACTGAGGGGGCAGGGTTAAATAGTATCTATGGAAATGAGATGTGCCAATGCTAATACAACTGCATACCAAATATCATTGACCTACCACTTGCGGTTCACCATAAACTAGACCTAATCACAAACTAATACATTGTTGTCGCTGCAAAATCAATGATAGAGTACAACCAAGCTTATCTCCCTTTAATATCATGCATTCAACAATTTTTGTCTTGCATAGAGGCATAGGGACGGCTGCAGCGGTGGCGTCAATAATTGAGTTTTCTGCTTAAGTTAGTTTGATAGGAACTACTTGTGATAGATCATTGATATTTAATACAAAGTTGCATTATTAATATTATCAGTACATATCAGTTTGGTAACTATTTCGAGTCCCAGCCCCCTAGGTCATGGTCCAGCAACTTTGAATTTACTAGCAATTTTCAATGTTAAGTTTTCTGCTTACCAGTAAGTTAGTTTGATAGGAACTACTTGTGATAGATCATTGATATTTAATATGAAGTTGCATTGCTATCAGTACATATCAGTTTGATGACTATTTTGAGGCCCTGCCCCCTAAGTCATGGTCCAGTGACTTTGAATTAATAAGCAATTTTCAATGTTAAGTTTTCTGCTTGATTTAGTTTGATTAGATCAATGATATTTTGTATAAAGTTGCATTACTATCAGTACATCTCAGTTTATTGACCATTTCTAGGCCCTGCCCACAAGATCATGGTCCAGCGACTTTGAATTAACATGCATTCTAAGAGTATTGCATGGCAATACAAAGTCCCCTAACGGTTAAAAATTCGTTGTACTATGTACTCTGTGTCTGTTTATTACAGAATTGTCTCTCCTTTTACAAATATATTTCCATCTTTTTTTTTCAGTACTCACAATAGAGAAAAATTTTTTGTTTAATGTCAATATGATAGAACTTTCCAATTCAATGTTAAACTTTTTTTAACCTTCCGGCCCAATAACTATGGGTTTGATTTTTTAAAAACTTTTAGTGAAACAGTCAAATCATTGGAATTGGATTATAAAAATATTATTTTCTGTACACTGTACTTGCTATTTTTTAATAATAAACCACCTATAGCTATCAGCTAAAATTTTCACCAATTGAAGATAGCAACTTGATGCAAACTACAACTTGAAAGAATTGTTTTGGTTCATTGGAATTTTGAAAGGACACAGTTATACTTCACCAAGCATTGTAAAAAAAAATAATAAACAGAAATCTCATTGACTAGTCTTCTTTAATATATTTCATGGTCTAAAGAGTTCACAATTTGCAATGTTTTATTTTGTCCACTTTTTGAAAATAACCTGATATATTTTGTTGTATTCTGAAAGACTTGACTTTTACAAGATCTCAGCTCAACAAACATGCAGATAAAAAATTGTGCTCCATCACGTTTAATTTTCGTTAATTAGTTGTTGCCTTCGGTATTCCCACACAAGCAGTGCTCCACTAACATGAACATTCAATGATCTTATAATTCCTTGTTGAGGTATTTCTACACAAACATCTAATTGATTTATAAGTTGGACAGGTATTCCTTCCTTCTCATTCCTGAAAAATATCAATTTTATTCTTAAAAAGTAAAGAAGAAACAATAAATTAAATCTTTAATAGGGTATTTCCATCAAATGAAAATAAGTCCATTAATGAGGTATTTCCACCAAATGAAATTAAGTCAATTCCAATGTTGGTATTTCACCTGTGATCCTGTGAGATGGATCATCCAAATGAAGATCTCAATCGATTCAAATGGCTAATGAGTCATAATATCATCTGGGGACATTGACCTTGAACTATCTTGATATTAAAAAGAATTCATCCTTTACTCATGGAGGATCTCTTCATTAAATCGTAAGAAGATTGAAAGCAGAAATCAAGCTATAGAGCGCTTTTTCTGTAATGAAAAAAGTTCAACCCTGCCATTTGACCTTGATATCCTACTGGTTTCATATCCTCATCATCAGGAACAACATCCCAAAATTTGATAAAAGTGAAATGCAAAAGGCAAGTTTACTGAATTCAGGCTTGTATAGTCCGCAGTTTTATTCTCCAAAATTGAACGTGCCAGACAGGGGTGCGGATTATAGAGTACGATAAGCAAGAAGTAAAGAGAAAAATTCTGTTTGTTTACGTTCGCCATGTTTGTAATTGAAATTGTAGAGGGCGCTCATCATTTTCAAAACTTATAGCTTACCTACCGGAGTAATCCATATTACCGTAGATACTCGCCTAATAGTCGATCCTACTATAAGTCGGGGGCCCTTTTCAGCTCCAAATTCTAAGGATTTAGTCTTGACCCTCGTATAAGTCGGACAAAATTTGGGCATTTTTTTTTCAGCTGACAGTAACTGAACGCCGGTAAAACCAATGCAAATCCAGGAATAATATTCATTTCTGCATTAATGTTTGTTTGGTTTGAATTTAGTTGATGCTCATCATGATAATTTATATTGCTGTTAATAATAAAGATGTATTCATTTCTCTTGTTTTGTTCACTGTTCAAATGTTAGATTAGCCATGTGTTGTTTACGTAATGCATCAATGATTTTGTAGGGTATGACTAACAACCTATTGTTTGAGAAAAGCGAATATAAACCAATATGAACCTGAAAAATTTAAAGTCAATCAACACTTGATGAAAATATTTTTCACAGCATACATAACTCGGTGTTAAATGAGCATGTACACTTCATAATTCTTATTATATTGTGATGATTAAAGGATTAAAAAAATTAAGTGAAGCTAATCAATATATTAAAATAACTAACTCCAACTCATTAGTGTCATCTGTTTACCTATCACTGATAGTTTTCACACCTTTAGTAAATACAACTCTTTGTCTCTTAATTGGGGTTATCAATGGATTATATTGGCTTGTCAATCAATTTTGTAATTTGTTTACTGAGACACTTTAATGAATAATATTTTGATTTTGGGAATGAATCTTAAAATTATTTTTTTATTATTATATGATTTATAAGCATTGAATTGATATCATGAAATCACAATAATGACACAATAACTCCGCTGAAAACATCCTTTCACATATTTGGTACATTATTATCTCCTTTTCATTTTTGGTTCTTGGCTCTTCTTTTGGGTTTATAGGAAAACCATGTGACCATGAAAATCAATACACAAACCGGAAACAGTAGAATTTCAACACGAATTTGCAGAAAATGTTTACCAAAGAACAAATAAAACACAAAGACAGTATTGTAGTCATTTATTTTCAACAAAAACTTTTTATTTATTGATTTATGTAGGTTTGGCAATCAAAAACGTAGTTTTGACCAGGAAATTCACTCCTGACCACTTTTCTCAAGCTTGGATTTTTCCTCTGGTCGCTAGATCTCGTCTATTAGTCGGTCCCCCTCTCTGGATTATGAATTTTACTCCCAATTTTCCGACTAATAAGCGAGTAGGAACGGTAATATGCAATTTTTATTCAAATCAAATATAAACTGATTAATTTCAAAAGTTAATGCTTCATTACAAATTTCTTGTTTTGTTTTCACTGCATTGCATAAAATAAGCTGGAATCCGTTTGAATTTCATGGACTGAAAAAAGTGTACAAGTCAGCCGGGAACCAGCTCATGCATAACAATATATAAATTACAAAACCTAATCGGTTATTCGTTCCATTTTAGTTTTTCATACTGACGCATGTGCTTTGTTTTAGCTTAAGATCCTTCAAACATTAATGTGATAGATTATTTTACTAAAAGATGGAACTGTTTCACTTTCAAAGTCGTATTCTAGTGATATCTATTAAGTACTGATTTTCCGTACACTCTCACCGTATTTATTTTCATTTGCATGTGATTTTCGAACTTCTGGTTTAAACAAACACAAGTTTCTTAATTGTTTTTTTTGTGATTTTGACTTATTTCAACACTCATGAAGTGTTCCAAAATCATTTACAAGCATTTTCAACTTCTATTTGATGATGGAAAACAGGTTTTTCCATGAAAATACCGCAAACGATCACACACGATTTGAAATTAACGGAGTTTCATTAGACGTTTTCAAACAGTTACAAAAAGTTTTTTACCTGAATTCTAGTGGCGAGAAGGGGGGAACGGACAATGTACCAGTGCGAACTATACAAGGCTGATTACGGAAACCATATCTTTTTCCTAAATGCTATCATGTGACCATGACCTTCAATCTCTGACCAGGATATTAAATAAGGATCTTATTCTACTCATGATAAATCACTGCACATAAAACAAATAAAGTGAAGTGCTTTACATACCCTAGTACCAGTAGTGATTTCTTGGGGAATGTGAAGTCTGTAAGTGACACACTATTTGCAGTCTGTTCAACTCCTATCAATGTATATCCCTCTTGTCTCTTCTCAGTAAGGTATTGGGGAAGTAATTCATGCCAAACCTATATGAAAAACAGCAATACTTAAAGAACATTTTTAACATCTTTTACAAAACATCTACTAAAAGAGTATTTTGATGAAAATCATAGAAAAAATGACTTGAAATTGATATCCTCTTTATATCATATCAAAATTCATCTTACAATTAAAACCTAAAATATGTAAAATATTGCTCATTACAACATTTCACCAGTATAGTTTGAGTTCTTCTGTTGCAAACTACAATTGTAGACATCTGTTATTATACTAAAAGAAAGAATGCTATGGTGTATCAGTTTTTTAAATTGTCTATGTATCAATAAATTCTATTGTTTTTTCACAACTGTATATTCACAGCATGCAAAAATCAGCTAAAAAATCAGGGGTTACTTTGATCATTTTGTGGTAGACATGAGCAGCTGAGACATCCAGTACCCCACCATTTTCATATATTTTGAAAAACTAAATACATACCCATCATACATTTTTGGACAAAATATATCTATAGCTATCATGATTACCCTATTCCATGGAGAGATAAAAAGATTTGACAAATATCTTATGCATTTACCACAGTGGTTTTATTTGCATCTGTGAAAAAAAATCGGCATCTGATTAGTTTCAGATACTTATGATTTAATCAGAAGCCTTGTCATACATTTCATCTTAATTTCTCCACCTTGTCATATATAATGAAGCTGAAAAAAGTTACCTATTCCAGCAGCTCATTCCTACCACTCTAAACATCAACTAACCTCTGTGATAGGTAACCATTTATGTGCTGTTACACTCAACTCTTTGAAAGTTTTGTCGTCTGTATATTTCATCTTGCCAATAACATACTGAGACACACCAAATATTTCACTGGTTCTACATAAACCTGCAGAAAAAATATTGAAATAAATTACAATAAATATTTTAATGCATAGATTATTTACATCCACAGTATACTGACCAACTTCTTATAAACAAGAATTGATACACTAAGATGTATTTTCTGTTGTGGCATTTGAATGAATTCACAGGGCAATGAACTCTGAACCTGATGTCAATGAAGCCTGTTGGATATGTGCACATGTAATGAATTAACATACGCACTATTTCCGACTTTTCATGTTTTTTATAAGTTATAAGATTTTAAACTATTCCAAAAATTAAATCTGACCAATCAAGTATGAAAATGGTGGATGTATTGTATTTTGATGTTTAAATGTCCAGCAGCAAATATTAAGTACATATTCAAAAAAAAATAACTGATCTGACTTCAGATTTTTTAGTGTACCTTAAAATTTATCCTGTTCAATGGAGTTTTAAAAGGTTACAATCAATGACATCTTGGCTGATAATAACAGCGGATTTGTTTATTTTCGTGAATTAAGTAATATGTACACTTTTAGGGATATTTGATTTTGTGGTTTTGCCAAAGTCTGCATACAAGCCTATAGAAAATTTGTAATTTGTTTAACATTTAAATTTGTGGTCCACCTGTACCCTAGAATCCCTCAAAAATTGGTATCCAATGAATATTAATGAATCCACAGTATTCCACTTAAGGATATCAAGTAAGTTTACCTCCTAAATTTGGTATTTTATCAATCAAAGAAGTAACAACAATAAGACCATCATCATCTCTCTTTCTGTTGCTATATTCAAGCTCATCTTGAACTTCATCATCTGGTAACATTAGTTTCCATGGCATTATCTTCTTCTGGACATCGCCTTCAACATTGTCTTCTATGTCACTATCTTCTTCGCCACCGCCACTTTTTTCTGTCAAAATAAATGTTTAACAAGCATCTCAATTACAAAATAGCCATGTCAATGTAAATGAAGTGGTGTGGATACACACAAATACATCAATTTACAGATATGGGTAGAAAATGTCAATATTACTGATGGCAAGGCCCTTTAAAAACAAAAATTCATATTTATTTATGTCTACATTATTATAAGAAGGATGTTTCAAGTTACAGTTGCCTTCTCCTTTTTTCGATTATACTTCATTTGCAATAAAATACACTGTAAGTAACTGCATTTTAAATGAATAAGTATATTATAACTATCAAAGTGACTCCATAGTTGATATACATCTGATATCCTACCATTTTTTTGTTGTTTTTGTTGTTGTTGTTGTTGGGTGGGTAGTTCATCGTATTAAAGCTATGTTTTTCAGTTTTGTTTGTTTGACTGTTTTAAATTGTTGCTGTCTAGAATAAGAATTCATCTTGAATTATCCATTTTATAATAAATCCTTCCTTTCATCAAAGTTAATTTGATTTAACTATCTATTAAGTTTAAAAAAAAATTCTTTATGAATTTAGTATAACCTATCAATATTTGCTAACAATAAATCTGTACTTCAAATAGTACATGAAAACTAAAATTGATACCCTTTCTTTCAATGACAAAATAATACCTGGGTTTTTAAATCTCCAGCTTCCAGGAGTCTCAGATTTCAGACCATCTTTAGCACTGTATACTGGTAAACATGAATCTTCTGTGGACATAATCTGTTCAAACTGTTGTGGTGAGATCCATTCATCATCAGGTATACCAAACAACCATGGTAAAGTTTGAAAAATTGTCTGAAATTGATGCAGAAAATTAATTTGTTCCAACTGAGGTTCCACAGAGGAGGTTTAAAGGTATCATAATGGAGTAATGGGAGAGGCATCCTTATGGAGACAGGAAAGGCAGCAAAAGGCACCATTAAGGAGAAAAGTGTTAAGAATCAAGTTTGAATACAGCCAACACCATTAACGAACAATTTGACAGTATAAGTAGCTACAAATGCTCTCCAAATATACTTTGGTGTGTGATCATCTCCATCTGCTTTTAAACAAATGATAAGTCCAAGTATATGCAAATGTGGAGGTATTCTACAAGGTACTCCTTTAATACCCTCAATTTAATTGACAGTACTAATAAGGAAGCACAGACTTACTTCAATGCTATGGTTTGTCCAAAATTAAAAATGGCATAACACTGGTAATTTTTTCTTTTCTTGGCCATACCTTTGTTCACTTTTATGCAATATAATTTGAATACTAACACTGTGTTCTAGTCAATAGAGACTAACAACTTTTATCATATGCCCCTTTCAGACACTCTTGGAGTTACCTATGCATAATGTTTTATAACTAAAGGAAACAATAAATTGACATAAAAATAACTTACCTCTAGATTAAAATCTTCCATGGGATCAAATGTTTTGAAGAAAAAATTCTCTCCTAATCTCTGTATATTCCTGGTTAAATTGCTATAACAGAAAAAGTGACTTTTATAAATCCGTCATTTCTTATTAAAGACACATTCAGAATAAGTATTTGAAATAAGTAAAATTTTTTAAAAATTCTTAGTTCCAAGTTATTGTCCAAGTTTAAACTGACCACTTTGCTTTCTCCAGCAAAGAAAGTAAGACAAAGTACTCCCTTAAAAATTTCTGAAAAGTGTGTATATAAAGTAAAAGCATTTTTCTCTTTATAAATTGTTCCAATGTATTATAACGCTAACTAAAAAAGAAATTTATATGCTCATATATGTAAGTCTTATGCATATCTTTTTGTCTTTTAATTTCTACCTCACATCTCCCTTTAATTCTTATCGAAGCAAATTCTTTTTTTGAATTTCAGTCAAATAATTCATATTTAAAGAAAGTAAAAATCAAACATACTTGGGTTCTTTATGGAAAGCCATACATGAATGTACTATAGAGTTAGAGGTTAAGACCTCTGTAAACTTTAAATTTTCACACTGATTCCATTGTTTCACCAATGTTGCAGCAGCATGCACTCTTGTGTTAAAATGATTTGCCATGCACCATGGTAACAGCTTCTGAAATGATGCTATATAAAATTCTTCCTGAAATACATAAACAGATGGGAATAAAATATGCATGTATAAATTTTCTTACTTTACAATGGAGACTCAACATTACAGATAAGTTATTTTTTAAGTATGACAATTTTTAGGCAAATCTATTGCATACTAGATCTTTCATTTCTAAGGTTCATAAATTTCTATGTTTCAATAGTATGAAGTAACATACATTTGTCAATAGTATATAAACTACTTGACATATTTGGTATTGTTGAGATAATATCTGTAAAGGAAAAGAGGATCTTCATTCTTTAAAATTTTTGTAAAAAATACCGTATATGTTGCATTATCTATTTGCTTCAATGATATCTTATCCAAAATACTATACAGCCAAACCTGCTATAAAGGTCCTCCATTAGGCAAAAATCTGCCTGGTCAAGTCAGCCTCATCTTATCCCTCTGTAGTAATACCTATGCATTTTTTAACCTTAATTCAAAAGTCACTTCTCTTAAAAGGTCAGTTTTCTCTGGTCTTAATGGTGACCATAACTTTATAAATAGGTTTGACTATATTCATTTCCTAATCTAAATATTCTAACATACCAACCTGTTTGTTTTTAGGAAGATGTACACCTAAATGTGATACCATGCACATCACTGAACACAAAACTGTACTCTTCTTTTCGGTTAACTGAAACAAAATTTGTTAAATGTAAATGTCATCAACTTCAGATTTGAAGTGCAGATGTGCTAGAATTCATTTTTCATTATAACCTTGACTTTGAAATACAGAATTGAAGGGAAAAGCTGCCAATCTCTTGAAGATAAATTTTTAAATGACCTGATTTAAGTTCAGGCTAGATGTACAGAAATATAAATATAGTTTGTGAAGAGTGTATCCTCAGCAAGTTCTATATAGATTATCTGAAAGATAGCCCTACAATGGAATTCTTCTTGGAAATACTACGACTGATTTTGCAGTATTAGAAAGCATGATTTCTTTTACAGCAGATCAAATGAAATCTTTGAGCTAGCGTGCAGTAACCAAAAGAATTTTTATAAGCATTGTATTTGCAAGTATATGTTTTTGTTATCAATAATATTAATGTAGATATAATTGTCAGAGTTTAATGATTATTCAGTTATTTTTCGGGTATTTTTTTGTTCTGTACCTATTGTTATTTCACTGATTGAGATAAAAGGGGAAAGAGTTGCATATTCAAAATACTAATTTAGACCAGTCAATGTCAGTAAATGTACATGTCCCAAATCAAGAGCCTTATGTTATAGAGAAAGTCCAAATAACTGTCCATTCCTGGGAAATAATGGAGCGGAGGCTTTCACTAACTTAAAATACACCTTAAATATTAAGAACGAATTTTTAGATCATAAAATTTAAAGAATTTTATTTCATATTGTAATGATTTTCTTTTCCCCATGGTGTACCCAATAATCCACAGGCAAAATTTAAGATCAAGCTGACCATATAATCACTTAACGAAGTATTTATGAACAGTAGAATAATTACTATAAAAGATCTAGAATAAAGTTCATCCAGATTTATGTTTTAAGTCATTGGATACACACGTCTTTCTTGTGGTGGGATTGAAAGGATATTTATTTGAATCTTTAAGTGGTATTTCGGGAGAGAGAAAAAAACTAATATTTATGCATATATGTTAATGGATTATGTGTTTTTCGTTTGATAAATCTTGGATGTAGAATCGTATGAGAAAATTGACATGGTACAACTAGAATAAATTTCCAGGTATGTAAAACTCTAGTATATGTTATTTAACTAATAAGGGTGTGTTCGATTTGAAGTCATATCTGAAACAAAATATGATTCTATATTTCAAACCATTCTATTAGATCAAATTATTATCAGAAAGATTGCCCTTTGTATGTCTTTAACATAAGTGGAAAACTACATTTTGATTTCATTTAAAAATTTCAAGATTAACGCCGTCATTTGCACTGCCGATATAACTGTTATTTGCCACTGGACATATAACAACAGTGAAGGAATTCAATTATGTTAAGCGTTTCTGTTGAAAATTGAATAAAAAGTCCCGCCCAATATTTAACACAAGCCTTATTCAAATGTTATCCATACCCTTCAAATTATATTCAATAGTACCATATTCAAATTATAACAACGAAAGATCAAATAATATACCGAATATGCCATTTTGACCATTTTAGTTTCATGAACTATCTGTTCTATTATCCACAATATTATTGTAGAAACTATATGAGTAATATTTCTTTTTTTAATGTACATATTAAAATGGAACAAACGATTTTTGCTGTACAAAATAAAAATACAACACTTTAAATTTCAAGCAAATGATATCTTAAACGGTCAAATTAAAAGCAAATCTGTAATTGAAATATATTTTCTCTAATTTTCCTTATTGTACAATGTTACTGTGTTCAATATTACGAAAAAATTCAACTGAGTTAACACATTCGATATTTTGTAGATTCAAAAGAGGACTAGCACTCAATGGAAAATATTCGTTATTACTCACTTGGATGCTATCCGTGACAGAAATTTAGACAAGATGTGCATCGGAAAACAAATTGTGGATAATATTATGGAATTCTAGTGAAAACAATACAATATATTATACGATGGAATTACAACTCGCAAATAAAAGCTGTTTATTAATAATGAGATATTTGGTGTTCATGGTATTACTACGAGGTCATCTCAATTTAAAAAAAAATCCATTTAATATCAGCTGTTTAGTAAGTTTTCGTCTTCATTCAATATAACGTAACGTCATTTAGAACTATTTCCATGGGTGAACACTTTTCAAGAAATTGCCAATGGAAATACCCAAAGGGCAAAATGTCCGGATGAATGAAGATGGAAAATAGAAAATAACTCTCCATTCCTGAAAAATAATGGAGAGTTTGAACAAAAGATTTACATCACAGGTGTATTTTAACAGAAATTATCTTTGTTTATTGATGGCAAATAGCATAACAGTAATGAGCGGAACATTAAATGATATGAAATAAGCATATTTCGTGTTGAACGTTACCTTGTCAAATATTTTCCACAGTTCATCTATAGATTCAGGTTTTTTTACAATCATTCTAAGTAAAATCCATTCACATGTATGACGAATGGATGGCTGATACTCTTGGTGTAATAAATCCCATGAAAATGTCCATAAATCTTCAAAATTTGTCTGTAATTAAACAAATTATAAATTAATTAAATAGTATTTGTAGCAGGAAGTTATTTTTTGGTTTTTCTTAAAATCATTCGGTTGTCATTCTCCAACAAAGAGTGAGAATCAGTCAAGTAATTTGAATTTTTAAAACTGACAAAATATCTATCTTTCCAACATGAAGTTAATATAAGCATAATGCAGAAGTGAATAAAATTGTGCATGAGGCACATTTCTGAATATGATATATATTTTACTTATCAAGTTTATTACATTTTACCATGTTAATTTTGATAATCAATCATTTGTAAATTCTATCAATGCGATATTCATATATTTTTTTTTTAAATTGACTGCCATATTATATTGATATTTTAAAGCAAATAATATAAGTTTTCTAAGTTGAATTTTTTTTCATTGCTATTTTTCATTTCAAAAGCCACAGTAAAGTCTTCAATACAGGGCAAAAGTAAATAAACTACTGTTGCAATATTTAAGTGATATAATATTTGCTGAATAAGTTATCCAAGAACTGGAATGTAGAAAAGTATTCAACAAGTGGAAAAACAGCTGATCAATTCACAAATATGGGAAGCCAATGAAAGAATTTTCAGTTTTGTTTACTAACAAGTTGACTATTTTCTTATAATTGAATCCTTGATTTCGTACTTCTTTTTCTTAGATTGACTTTTCAAGTAAATAAAGTAGCAAATGCTACTACATCATACTATATCATTTTCTAACACTTTCTCACTTGGTTTTGATGCAAATTTGTTGACAATACCTATTGTTCTATGATGTCAGAGGAGTGAAAATACAAAATTTATTTCACTTGTGACCGGAAAATAAGGGTATTTTATTGAAACCAAAGTAATGAAATGCCCTAATACCTCAATCACAATAGATTCTAGTAATGATACAATCTGTAACAGTCTGTGTTTCTTTCTATGTTCCAATGAATTAGTTATAGTTCCTGGTGTAATAGTTTCTTGTTGGACTTCTCTGTACTGTTTGATCAAATTCCTCAGTAAGTTCACAGCAAATTCCTGATGTGTCTTGTTGGTAGGACAAAGACTGCAGATCAATGATACAAGCTCTGCACGAACCATTATATCTTTTGTTGTACTGAAAATACAGTTATGATTGTTGAAAGAGTAAACAATCCTAATTACTTAATTCTAAAGCTTTTTTTTAGTCCACATGTCTCATTTTATAATGAAATAATCATCAGGATAATCACAAAACATTAACCATGCTGTCACTAGAATATTTCTCTTTTATATGTTCCGAGTTTTTAGGCAACCATAGCATATCCTGATATCCATCTTAGCATGCACTATTTGAACTAAGAATCAGAATGTGTTGGTTCACTTGGTTCATTTAATTCTAATGTGAAAAAAACAAGTGAAATTTTGTATGCAGGACATTAATAAAGAGCTGCGCCATGAGTGCATGATATGGCAGTCACTTTTTCAACAAATAAAGTTCCATAACTCCTCAATGTCATATCAGAAATTTATAAAATAAACTAAATGGAGCTTATTTAATAGATGCGAACTAGTCATCTTTTTTATGAATAAAATCCCATAACTCAGAAACGTAAAATCTTAAATTAAAAAAAAACAAAACAGAGCTTACGTCAATAGATATAAACAATTCACCAAAGTTTCATGAAAATTCGTTAAAGCATTTTTTAGTTATTGTACGACATGTTGACGACGGTTGGACGGATGGATGAACAGCGGTATACCTTAATACCTCCTGTAAACAGACGTATAAAAAAACAAGAAGATATAACTTCAAATTGATCAAGAAACTTTTCAACAGACAAATAGATCAATAGTTTATACTATTGAATATTCATTTTCGTCAAATAAAATTATATATAAAAATAAAGAGATATTGTGTGATTTTTAATGAGACAACTATTATGAATGATGTTGTGTTGTTATACTTACTGAGGTTTCAGTTCATTTACAGAGCACTGGTTTCCAAGGGATTCAATGTAGGAAAATACATCATGTAACTGTCTGAAAAACAAAAAGAAGGTCTTTCCTGTGTTATGAATAGCTTTTTTTGTCAATGCATTACCTTTGTTTTTAATTAAATATTTCATTACTAGCAACCTATATAAATCGGAAGTGTCTTCTTTTTGGTTGAAAATTGTAGCATATTTTGTCAACTGAAAGTCACTTTTTATAACTGAAAATACCTTTCTAGGTTAAAACTTATACTAATCGTTTCAGTGTATTGGCCACTTATAAAATTCCTGGAAGTTTAATGGCTCTTATCTCCCTTATATAAATTATGGCACTTTAGGGTGCACACATTCTTCCGAATGATGTGGATTTTTTTGTTGGTATCAAATTTTTATTAATTATCTCCCATTATCATAAGTTTGATGTGTATTGCTATGAACTGAACAAAATCCTGTACTGACATGTAACTTATCCCCTTGCTGTTTTGCAATATAATGATCTTGTTATTTATTAATTGTATAACCTAAAGTTTAGACTTTTCCTAAAGATACACATGTATAACGTTTTTACAACTCATCCAAATTGCCTGTTATCTTGATTGATTAGGGTTCATATCTATTTAGAAAAGCAATATGATCTCATAGCTATCAGATTTATTGTAAGATACAAACAAGAAAACAGCAAAGCCTGGATCAGATTTATTGTAAGATACAAACAAGAAAACAGCAAAGCCTGGAGATGAGTATCTACCAAACTTCTTTATATTCACTTTTATTCATTGACAAGCACACCATCAATCTCAAAATGCAATAAAATGACAGGCTTAAATCATTTGAATTAACAGGGTAAGCAAGGACAACGAATTGTGAGTTAATATAAAAAGAAGATGTGGTATGATTGCCAATGAGACAACTCTCCACAAGAGCCCAAAATGACACAGAAATTAACAACTATAGGTCACTGTAATGTTTTTTACATTTGGGGTGTTTAGTGTTAATACCTGATCTTAGTCTATTTAAAATTATTCACAACTTATAATTCATTATTATTAGTTGAATACCAATTTTTGTGGATTTCGTGGGTACAGGGGTACCTTAATCCATAAACATTAGTACCCACGAAAAAAAAGGAATCCACAGTAAATGGGATTTAAAGCTTGACATATTGTCCGACCATCTGTTGATACCTTTATTTTTCGATCCACATGGTCATATTTTTCTTTGACTGTCAATGACAACTTTACACAAAATCCGTTGGAAGTTGGATGTGTACTGATTAATATTTTAGCCTTAAATACATGAATTTTTTATTAGTTGTTATTGGCTTTGAACTAGTTTTCAGTAACTGAGAGTACCGGTACTCTCATATCTGTACTTTGAGTCTTTTGTGTTTTTGTTAGTTGTTTTTGTGCTTTGTATCACTCTAATATTGACTTCAGCCCTTTTTAACTGATATTTAAAGTTTGATCTTTGTGCTGTTTCCCAGGTTAGGTATGGGGAGGGTTGGCATGCCTGCAAACATGTTAAACCCCATCACATTCTGTATGTGATATCCAAAGTCAGGAGCCTATAATTCAGTGATTGTTGTTTGTTGCTGTTTATCATTTTATATTTTTTGTTTACATAAGTCAGGCCATTAGTCTTCTAATTTGAATTGTTTTACATTTGTCATTTTGGGGTCATTTATAGCTTGCTATGCAGTATGGGATTTGCTCATTGTTGGAGGCAGTATGGTGACCTATAGTATCTAACTTTCTACATCATTTGGTGTCTAATGGAGAGTTGTCTCATTGGCAATTATATCACATCTTCTTTTTTTCATATGGACACAAAGGTGTGTCTGACTCAGAACATAGAAGCTGCCACTTGATTTAAAGTTCAAAATTTAACATGTGCAGCCTAAGAATAAAACAAGAGGCTCTCAAGAGCCTGAATCGCTCACCTGTAATTTTTTGCTTAAATCTTTCATCAAAGATGATTATTTTTGCTTTTCAATATATATTAATGAGTGGCTTAAAATGCCATTTAAATGTTCTTTGTATCTGTCATATTTTCTTCAAAAGCAAAAAAATGCATTTTACCCCTATGTTCCATTTTAGCCATAGTGGCTATGTTTCTTGACGTACAAGGAAATAAAATACAAAATGTTTCCAAATACTCTGAAACTCATTCAGCCCAAGTTTGGCTGAAATTGATTCAGCAGTTTCAAAGGAGAAGATTTTTTAAAGTAAGCAAACTAGATTAGATGAACAAACTGTGAAAAATTGTCTTTAAAGGACAATAACTCCTTAAGGGGTCAATTGATAATTTTGGTCATATAAAACTTATTTGTAGATCTTACTTTGCTGAACATTTTTGCTGTTTACAGTTTATCTTTATCTATAATAATATTCAAGACAAGAGGCTCTCAAGAGCCTGAATCGCTCACCTGTAATTTTTTGCTTAAATCTTTCATCAATGATTATTTTTGCTTTTCAATATATTAATGAATGGCTTAAAACTTCCATTGAAATGTTCTTTGTTTCTGTCATATTTTCTTCAAAATCAAAGAAATGCATTTTACTCCTATGTTTCATTTTAGCCATAGTGGCTATGTTTCTTGACGTACAAGGAAATAAAATACAAAATTAATACTAGATACTCTGAAACTCATTCAGCCCAAGATTGGCTGAAATTGATTCAGCAGTTTCAAAGGAGAAGATTTTTTAAAGTAAGCAAACTAAATGAACAAGTTGTGAAAAATTGATTTTAAAGGGCAATAACTCCTTAAGGGGACAATTGACAATTTTAGTCATACAAAACTTATTTGTAGATCTTACTTTGCTGAACATTTTTGCTGTTTACAGTTTATCTTTATCATTAATAATATTCAAGATAACCAAAATCTGCAAAATTTCCTTAAAATTACCAATTAAGTGGCAGCAATCCAACAATGGGTTGTTAGATTCATCAGAAATTTCAGGGCTGACAGAACTTGGCCTAATGAACATTTTTTACTCTCATCAGATTAGCTCTAAATGCTTTGGTTTTTGAGATATAAGCTAAAAATTGCATTTTACCCCTACGTTCTATTTTTAGCCATGGCAGCCATGTTTTTTTACGAAACAGAAAATAAACACAAACTTTATTCTAGATACCCTAAGAATCATTCAGCTTAAGTTTGGTTGGAATTGGTTCAGTAGTTTCAGAGAAGAAGATTTTTTAAAGTTAGAAAACATGATAAACAAATTGTGTAAAATTATCCTTAAAAAGCAATAACTCCTTGAGGGGTCAATTGACAATTTTGATCATATGATCTTATTTGTAGATCTTACCTTGCTGAACATTTTTGCTGTTCACAGTTTATCTTTCATTAATAATATTCAAGATAATAACCCAAAACTGCAAAATTTCCTTAAAATTACCAATTTAGTGGCAGCAACCCAACAATGGGTTATCAGATTCAATTGAAAATTTCAGAGCTGATAGAGCTCCTCCTAATGAACACTTTAACCCCTGTCAGATTTGCTCTAAATGCTTTGGTTTTTGAGATATAAGCCAATAACTGCATTTTACCCCTATGTTCTATTTTTAGCCATGGCGGCCATGTTATTTGACGAAACAGTAAATAAAACACAAACTTTATTCTAGATACCCTAAGGATCATTCGGCTTAAGTTTGGTTGGAATTGGTTCAGTAGTTTCAGAGGAGAAGATGTTTGTAATAGTTTAAACCAGACAGACGACGACAGACGCCAAGTGATGGCAAAATAATAAAGGTCACATTTATCCAAATCTTATTTACAGCTCAATGCGAAAGTGGTCATTTACTAGAGGTAGTGAGAGCAAAGCTCACAAAATGATATCTTTTCCTCTTGTGTTCATCTTTCAACATAAAGTATTGACCTTGACCTTAATGAAAGACATTCCAACCTTTTTTTGCTACCACATCCTCTTCTGATGAGGAAGAATAATATCAAGAATCTTTAATATCCTGCTTTGCATTGAACATTTCTTGTATATTTGAATATGCATAACTGCCAACTTTTCAAAACCTCTGTGGGGGTTTATGTAGGTCAATCAATTTGTGACACAATAATAAAATAAATTACTATCTTATTACTGTTATGCTAAAAAACATTCTTCAAGAAAAGGTAAATAAAAAAGTATAATTTATTAACAAGATATTACAAACAACAAACAAATTCATTCACAGCCAGCTGTAATGTGAACATATAAATTAAAAAAAGAATTCAATTCTCAATATATAAATTCAGAAATGCTACTTCCTCTATAAGGTATAAAGTACTATCTAAAGTAAAATGAGGTTTCGAATATTTCCATTATTATCATAGAAATAAAGCAGATTTCAAGAGTAATTTAACACACTGTTCTGATACTGCAAATACAAGATGGTAACAAGATCAGTTTAAAGTCTTCGTAACAAGTCTTTTCTGGGTGTTGTTTTCTTCTTCACTTTTTTCGCATTAACATATAACCTTTGAGTAATTTTTCCTGATGACTGACTTGGGTATAAAGTCTCTGATCCATACTCTAAACCTGTGCAATCATTTTCTGGAGTTGCATCAAATAGTCTAACCACTGGAATCGGAGATGTGGATTTGTTAGAAATGTGTTGTTTTGGAATCGGAGATGAATTTGGATAATGTCTTAATGGCACAGGAGATTTCATTCTACTGGGAATTAAGGGTGAGTATTTTATTCTATGAAAAATTGGAGTACTCCCTCTTTTTGAAATGACTGGTGACGATTTCATACTAATAGATGAATTGTGTTGAGAATGCGGTGATAAATACTGATGAAATTCTCTTGGGTCAGGTGATCTGTCTTGAATTCTGCTGATAGATACTGGTGATGGACTAGTAAAGAGTCGATCAGGTACTGGAGATGTATTGAAAAGTTTCTGAACCACATCAACACCAAATGCTAAACGTTCCATGGCTTTAGCAACAGGAGTTACTGCACTTGATATCCTGTTCTCTCCACAGTTCCAATATTGTTCATATTTCTGTCTTTTGTAATTTTCAATTCTTTCCTGTATCAATAATGTCTC